ATTCAGACCGACGTAAATCAGCACGTACCGTTTTTGAGCTCAGATATATACTGTGGATTAATTTTTGTTAAATTTAAAGTTTATTTCTAAGAGACAATCCAGAGCAGAAAGCTGCTTTTGGATCAGTTCTGATATAAAAAGAGACTGACACAAATTTTATTCTCTAAACTCAGAGTTCACTTCCTGTTTAAACTTAGATTGAATAATCCTCTCAAATTAATCTTAAACTGTGTTACTCTTAGGTGTGGTTAAACGCAGCTGGTGACCTGAAGACGTACAGAATATATGTTTTGTTCATATAACTGTGAAACAAACACTTCCTGTATGAGTTTCAAATTAAAAGCCCTTTAGTGTTGCAGCTCTCGGTTACTTCATTGTTTTTCAAGGTTTTTTAGTGAAGGGTTTTGAGGTTCATGTTTTTGTTTGAAATGTTTTATTTTGTTAACCACAGCATGTGTCATGGCTACCATGATTTGACTGAATGCAGTTTAGTTTGACCTTTGACCTTCTATTAAACACAAACTACTGTCTGCAAGTCACCTTTCTGTAAGTGTTGTACAGCAAAAGATTTTGAGTTTGATTCAGCTTGATCCTCCTGTATGGGACTGCATCCTGAACTGAGTCAGTATTTCAGTCACTGACCACAGCCTCTTGTGGAAAGTAGCCCAGCTTAACAGCACTCACATTTCAGCTGCTGCCCCTATGTAGTAACAAATAGTGCATTTAAAAACATGAACTCAGACAGCTGCTGCCCCCTTGTGGTGATACTTTAGCACCACAAATAGCAGTGTTCTAAAAACATGACAACCCACCTCACCCCACCTTGGTGATATTTTTTCAGTACAAATAACAGTGTAGAAAAGTTTGCCACATACAGCTGCTGCCCCCCTGTGGTAATCTTTTCACTACAAGTAACAGAGTATTTGAAAACATGAACACAAATGGCTGCAGTGACTGAAATCAGAGATTATTCCTTCAGATTAGCAACCCAGAATAAATGTGTTTAAATGCTCTTTTCTTTATTGAAGTGATGTAAATGTGAATTTTCTCTGATTGCGTGCTCATAATACGGTTCTGTCATGTTTTCCCTCTCAGCCTGGACTTTGGACCTGTTTTTGGTTGTGCGTTTAACCCTGAATATTATGAGATGTTTTATACCTGAAGACAGGTGTGATGGATGTGCCTGTAAAGGGTTAATAAAGTCATGGTTCATTACCATGCATTAGTAAACGGTGTTTCCCTTATTTATTATCAGATAATTATTAACGTCTCTGAGTCACTTCCATGTTTCTATAGGCGCAGGTCATTTTTTTATCCTGTTGGAAGGTGGATAGTGACCCAACTCTGCACTTTGCGGCACCCTCTTGGGATGAAAAAGGACTTCCTGATCCAGGCCATGTGAACGGCATGGGCTGGTTTGACTGGTCTCCTCAGTCTGTGGGCCGACCTTCCAGCTTCAAACTCTGAGCAGAAAAAAAACGCTTTGCCTAATTGAATGACAGACTGCAAAAATGTTTCATCGCTTTCTGTTTCTTTGTCCTTCTGTCAGTCTGACGGGTTTTTCCTTCATCTACTGTCTCCATCTTTCTTTCTCCCTCTCTTATTCTCATCAGAAATGCAGATGAGAGGAAACTTTTTTTTCTCTTGTGGCGTTCTGGTTTAACACCTCTTAAATGATATTCCTCTCTCTCTATCTCTGTGTGAGAGGAGGTAAAGATGTGGTGTTGATTGGCTCTCTGGTTCTCTCTCAGGGTCCATTTGACCCACTTTCCTCCTCCCTCAGGGTGTTTGTGCCTCTCAGAGCGTCTGTGGTCTTGTCACACTCCACCCTTGTCTCTTAACTGACTGAGTGCGTGCGTGCGTGTGTGTGTGTGTGTGTGTGTGCGTGATAAACAAATACAGAGAATGAATTTGTAGTTTATATATGTGCAGACTGTGTGTATGTTCAAGTTATATCTGTGTTTATAATATATGTGCACATGCTGTAGGTGGTGTTTCTGTATCTCAGGCTGGCGGTGGTGGCAGCTGCTCCTCCTCGTTCACCCTCCGATTCAGACAGATAGATTTAGCAGCACATGGCAAGCAGCAGCCTGTTCTCCCTGGAGTTGACTGCAGGCGACACATTTTCATGGTAATTGACGCTGATGTTTACAGCCTCAGTACAATGCTGTAAATGTGAGAGTTCTCACTCTCTCTGAAACACAGAGCTGCAGCAATGTCAGATTTTGTCAGGGATAATGTTTTCAGATTGAATCAGAGCAGGTCAGAGAGAGTCAACGCTTAGGGTCAGTCATACTTTCAGCTGTTTGTAAAGTAGATACAAACTGAGACATAGGAATTCTTAGAAACAAACATTTAAGTTAAACCTGAGGTTAACACTCAGGATTATGGGAGTATGTACAGATTCTTCTATTTTCTTTTGATCAAGTAACATTGCATTACTCCTAAAAAGGTTCTGGTTGTTGGCCTCTCTTTTCTCAGTGCTAGCATCCAACAACAGTCCTCCCATTTTTAATCTCAGCTTTTTGGGCTTTAAATTACAGCTTTTACATTTCCAGATTTCATATACCACCTCCATTTTCCACCTGCCAACTTCAAACTTCCACTTTCCAACTTTGACCTTCCACCTTCCTACTTTTTGTGTTGTCAGTTTGATTGTTCTGTGGTGCATAGATAAAGCTTTATGCATGCTTTTAGTCCTTTTAATAATTGACTCACCCTGACTGCGATTAAGAATCAGAAGTTCCAGACTGGACTTCCTGCTCAGGCTCAAAGCTAAAGTTTGTTTTTGTCCCCAGAGGATCTTTGTTTGTAAATGACACAGCTTTATTTTTGTCTTTAAGTTTAAAATGACAACGAATGAAACACCTAAAAACAGCTCAGCATGCTCTGGGAGACCGAGTGACGGTCAAACTTTAGACTGATGGGGTATTAGGGCCCCAGAGTAAGTGTGTGTGTGCGCACGCTAGCATGCTTTCAAAACTCGTCAGCACCTCCCCTCGCCATGGAAACGATGTCAACACATGGAGGGCAACGAGCTGAGTGTGTGATTTATCATTAGGAAGGAGAAATTTGATCTCTCGCTAACAAACACTGACGCAGACACAAACAGTCACAGGAACTCACAAACACACACACACTCAGACACACACTGTCAGAGAAAATGGACTTCAGAGCGGTTAGATCGTTTTCAGAGTCACTTTCATCTTCTGTCGACTTTCACTCACTTCATTTATTAAACATTCTCTCTCTCTTGCTCTCTTTAACAGACTCTCAGACTGTAAGAGAAATACACATTTTAACAGAAACACTCAGAGAAACAGGGTCACAGGCAGAAACAGGAGGAAAAGAGTTCTTACAATAAAGTGAAGAAGCTTAAACGGATTCAGATTATAAACTAAACCCTGTTTCATGGACACACACTAACTCAGTGTTATTATATTGATAAATTAGTTATTATCATAATTATCAGCACCCGTGTTTTAACAGTTTTTGAAACCAGATTTAAAATGCTTATCACCCACAGCTTCTTGGTCCAGATTTAACCTGTTTATATCTTTGTTTTAGATCCAGATTAAACCTGTTTATATCTTTGTCTTAAATCCAGATTAAACCAGTTTAATCTGTGTTTTAAATCCAGATACAACCTGTGTATATCTGTGTTTAAAATCCAGATTAAACCAGTTTATATTTTCTTGTCTTTAATCCAGATAAAACCTGTTTGCTTCTGTGTCTTTAATCTTGATTAAACCTGTTTATATCTGTGTCCTAAATCCAGATTGAACCTGTTTATATCCTCTTGTCTGTAATCCAGATAAAACCTGTTTGCTTCTATGTTTTAAATCCAGATTAAACCTGTTTATATTTGTGTTATATATCCAGATTAAACCTTTAAGAAGCTGTGTTTTTAAACCAGATTAGACTAGTCTATTCTGTGTTTAAGTGTAAAGTGTGTCTAGTGCAGACTCAGATCCTCCTGTAGGACTTGTCCTTGTATGGTGCTGAGTCTGTGCATGGCTTTCATCCAGCAGCACACAAACTCACACACTTACAAACACACACTGATAGCTGTGGTGTAAGCATGACTTTACATTGTCTCTCTCTCATTGGTCGGTTTCCAGCTGATTCCTGCAAGCTCACTTTGATGCTGGAAATAAATGCCTTACCTTTCAAACGGTTCTGCAGGAACTCAGAGGGGATGATGACTGATGGCACGTTATAACATACACACTGTGACACACACAATGTAACACACACTCACACATACACTGACTCACTCTCTCTATCTCACACACATATTTCTGCCTGCAGCATAAAAATTTAAACAGTTGTGTTTTTTATTCTCTACTATTCACAGAGTCAAATCTTGCAGGACCCCAGCCAGACCCTGTGATTGCTTTAGGTTCATATACCCTCTGAATATTGATGTGTCAGAAACCATTAAAGGATACTGTAGAGGAGCTTTAAGTCCGTTAGTTGAGATGAGCCTGCAGAAGAGCCTTTGGTCTGTTCGTTCAAAGGATCCTGTAGATGAGTTCTGAGTCTATTGGTTAAGATGGTCTTACAGAGGAGCTCTGGGTCTGCTAGCATAGAGGATCTTATAGAGAAGCTCTGAATCTGTTAGTTTAGATGGTCTTCTACAGGAGCTGTGGATCTGCTGGTATAGAGGATCTTATAGAGGAGCTCTAAATCTGTTTGTTCAGATGATCTAATACAGGAGTCGTGGATCTGCTAGTATAGAGGATCTTATAGAGGAGCTTTGGATCTGTTAGTTTAGATGGTCTTGCAGAGGAGCTGTGGATCTGCTTGTTTAGATGGTCTTATAGAGGAGCTGTTGGTTTAGATGAGCTCTGAGTCTGTTGGTTCTATAGAGTTTTTATCCTTACACTCTGACTCTGATTTTTTACTCCAAAAAACTGACTCTGATATTTTCTATACTGTTAATCTGTCTGTGTGAAATGAGATTCCAATTGTGTGTGCCATCGTAATGCTCATGTTTA